AGGTTCTCATTTTGTTTACGACTAGAAGGATTTTCCGATTTACATTTCATTAAATTTGTAATGATTTGTAACGTTATTCGAGTCTTGTCCTTGAATTTTGTTAAGCGGTAACTAGAATTTTTGAGAAGATGATTCGATCTATATAATAGTCCACGACAAGCTTCGTTATCACATAATAGAGAAATACAAACTGACGAAATGTATGATGCTGAAAAATTCTTCGATGCGTGTTCGAGGGATTTTGTTCGATTCGGTTCGCTCGGCTGGCCAGGTGTTCTGGCAGTGAGCGAGCACTATCAGCGAACGCGAGATCCGTGGGTCGAGAGAAGGACCGACGAAGGAGCCGGAGCGTGTAGGTGAAACTCGACGAGAGAGGCACTGAAGAAGGATGGAGAACCTGTCCTCTCGAACTGAACCTTCTCTTCTCGGGCCTTCTCTGAAGAGGCTTAAAGAAGGCCTTCAGGATTCGGTCCCTCGGACCTTGGTTTATAGCTACGAACACGACGGACGTTGTCGACCGTCTCGGACGCACACTTCTAATCGCATTGAAATCATTTCTAGGTGCAAACTAAAAGTTCAGTGCAGCAACGGTGCGAAAAGTCATTGAAAGTTCATACCTTTAATCCGAAAATCGATCTTCTCGAATTGTCAAAAAATTAAATTAAACTGTTCTACTGAAAATCTGTTTCTCAAGTCTAGTTTCTTCCAGATTTATCAATTTGCTTAGAAACGTGGCACAAGCTATACTGTTAATCGCGAAAGAAAAAGGCATCTTCTACGCGGTGCGTTGTTAGAGATCGGAAATTTCGGCCCTCGAAATAGCGTGGGGCTGTATGTGGAAATGACAGCCGGCTCGGTCGCCCCCATCATGTCGTGTGGGGGCAGAGGGGTAGCGCGCGCGGGAATCCCGGCCACCCTCTTCCCCGTCGCCTAGGCTGCATATATCGACCCACCGATGGTGAAGCGGAGTGTGCACGACCCCTGACTCGCGCACACATGAGGAAGAGAGAAAGGCGAGAGAGAACGAGGCTCCTTAACCCTCATCCGTGTTGTCACGGGGTAAAATTTGACGGACCGACGGATATCGAAGGAGACGTCGGCTTGGCTGATGTTGTGGTGATCGTCTATCGATCATTCTGAGTGCGGTCGCCGATAATGCAGTCGAGAGAGATTCAATATGACCGATGAATAATAATCGGGAGAAGATGTAGGAATTCTGAGAATGATAGAAGAATACACGAATGTTCGTATTCCCTTGATAAGGAAGAGTAGATGTAAGAGGGAAAAGAATAATCTCTAGCGAAATTAAGCAGAGAAAAGGTGTGGGAGATGGACGATTCTTTATGATCCTCGGATCTTCTCGTTCTCGGATTTTTATTCATAAATCCCTTTTATCACAGAAAACAAAGAGAAGGAAAAATCGTAAAATCTGTCCGTCTCTTTCTTGAAATAAAGAAGTCTACGTACATGATTCTTTCCCATTATTCCGTATGCAGTTTCATCAACATCGTCGGACATCAATTAACGATAACAGAGTTTAAATTTCCCTGCGTCTATCTGTGGTGCGGATAACAATACTCGAGCTACGCGATTGTGAAACAAAGCGGAAGTTAAAAGGCGAGATTCCCGCTGATTGCGGCGTAATCGGAGTCACCAAGTAGGAAGCTCGCGATAGTCTCGACCCCATAATTCGCCTGACCGATTGAGAGAAGAGAACGGGAGGAGGAAGAAGGAGCGAGAAAAGTCGGAGGTGTCAGATTTTTACGAGCACCTGTTCAGCATTTTTCCCTCCGCGTAGAGGGCTCGCGTCGTCAGGTAGATACGCGGGGCTCGTAGGGCCCAGTATAGGGGTACCCTATCGACCTGGAAACCTGTTCTCCCTTCTCTCTTCCACCACCCTCTCGTCCTCCCCGTTCCCCTTCCGCGGCCCCCGGCCACTCCGCTGCTGGCGGCGGGAGCGATGGAAATGAAAAATTAGGCCGTTGTCGGGACCTCGCCTCCTTCGGAACCCCGTTTCCACCCGTCCACCTCCGTGCCTCGCGCGCCGACTTTTTCGTCACCGCCATTTATTTATCGCACGCCGACACGTACGTACGGGGTGTTTGTAAAACACGCGGCCAGATTTCCACATCGACTGCGGTTGAGTGTGCAAAGAAAGTTCCTAGGGGCTTACGTCAGAAAGCGCTTTATCAAAGGGTTCTAAGGAACCTTCTTGCCTAATTCATTTGTTTGCGATTTTTCATAAATACATAAGGTACCCTAGAAATAGTGATTCATACGTTATTCAAAACCTACTAAAGCAAGCACGATATTGCTGAAGTAAAAATTTAGCTAGGTAGATAGATAGATAGCTTTATTTATCACGCGCTTTAGGACAGCATCCTCTCAAGCTAAATAAAACATTAATATAACAAGAGACGTAAAAGAATGGATTTAACAGTGTAAGAATAATTACTTTAAAAAGAGATTATATAAGAGAGAGGAAAAATATTAAAGTAAACAAGAAAAAAGAAAACGATAAGATAAAAATAGTACATATCTGAAAATAATTTTATTGAATCATCAAAATAACTGTAGAAATTTCAAGCATGATAAATAATGCTACAAAAAGTTTTTTGACATTCTCAACTAGTTTGAACATCGTACATAATTTTGATAGATCAATAAAATTATTTTAGATCTGTGTCGAGCTAAATTTTTAGATACTTCAGCAAAAATCATTCTTTCCGTGTAATAATCCTTTAATTTTGACCATTTATAATATAATAACTATGGATTTCTCCATTCTTTTGTACGATAAGGAAAAACCGACTCCATATTGGATAGATACAAGGTGCAAAGTGCGAAATAAACTGCGCACAAAAAAGCGATTTCCATCTAGAGGTAGTTTCCGCTCAAAGACATCGTCGTCGATTATATCCTACGTCACCGCATCGCGCCGACACTTTCATTTAATGATTTATTTGTACGCGCATCCGGAAGTCAGAAGATAGACAAACACTGAATCATCCGCGTGTTCGTCTTGGACACCATGTATATGCAAGCAATCTGAAGGTTTTAATTCGAAATGCGCTGAAATATTCTATCTCTTGTACACGAGAGACTCGTGAAAGAGAGGTGGCCGATCATAATAATTCGCCATTCGTGCGACTATCGACGGGCGCCGCGCGTCACGTGTACTCCTCCGATACGGTGTATACCTGCGGATTGACAGGTTATTGGCGGTTGGTCGTTACTGCACGCGTGCACGCGGTAACGAGGGCGAATGCGCTCCGATTCCGAGTATGCGTAAGCGCTTATGCGTAAGCGCGCGTGCACGCATGACCGAGCGCACGCGAGGGCGCGTCAAGGATCGCGATTAACTTTGTTACTTGTAACTCAGCTGTAACGCCGTAGCTATTTTTCTTCTGGAAACAGCGTGCACTATCGCTTTGTGCGCCGTTGCGTCGTACGCGTGTATGGAGCAATAGGCGTAACCGGAAATTAATCCGAGCTAAACCAGGAGACGACCAACTTTTACTTTGTCAATGCAAATAAATCCAGTTTCATATTAATACGCGTTCACTTTTTATTGGTACATGTCAGTGTACTTTTGTCCCAAAAAACCCGTATCTCCTCCGTGGATACAAGTTAATTGATAAGAATTAAAGTTGTTATCTTGTTCTTAATGTGACGTTTTTTTCGACGTAAACGATATGACCGTGATCGATTTAGATCTTGTTCTACTAGATTTTCCTTTCGTAGAATTCTTAAAAATCAATCATTTACATTCTTGACACTCTGATCATAAAGTTAATATCTCTTTTTTTATTATTTATGCCTCAATTAATTTGATCCTGCTACTCCGTCTGACTAGTATAACTTCAGAAACTATCGGGAGAAAGTAGGATGATCTAAAATTTACGCGGCAATAATTCGAAGACGTTAACAAATGAAATCCTTTTATCGGTAAATTGTAATACTGAAAAATCACCGCGTTAAAAAGGATTAAGCCGACAGTATCAAAAGCCGATATATCGACTCATTGCGGTGCGCACACCCTTAGACGCGTCACCCTGTATATCTAAGAGACTACATTATGCTTGCCGACCTGTTGCTACCCTTTCCTACCTCGCACCCTTCTACTGTTCCTTCCGACCTAATCCACCCGCTGCTACGAAACGGAACCTTCCTCCCCTATCCTCGTGTGCTCCTCCTCGTGCTCCTTCTCGTTCAGCTCATCAAAGCCGCTCTATATTCTTCGTTTCGGTCTCCTCTCCGTTTTACTACCTTCTCCTCTCGTCGTTTCTCCCTTTCAACTGCCTCGTCAATCTCGCGAGCTTTCGCCCCTCCTCCACTCCGTCTCCTCCCTTCCGCGCTCTTCCTCTTTTCCTTTTGGAACTCGTCGAGTTCTTTTTTTCAAAACCGCTCTCTACAACGCTAACGATGCTACAATACTAACAACGCGGTATCGATACCTCGACGTACTGTAGCATCGGCACTTTCGACTCAACTGATTCAAAAATATAAGTAATTTCTCGTCCATACATTGCACCGATACTAAACGCGAACTCTAAACGAAGATTTATAGACGTAGACGTCTACCGCATCGGATCTATCTACGGGATGCCTCGAAATGACAGACCATAGCATTAAGAATGGATGCTTTGACCAATTTGGAGAACACCAATCTTTTTCCTCTCTTTTTTTTTAACTGTAAAAGCAACAACGATCTTGTTCATGTCCAATTCTCGTGAAATTAATCTTACTTTTCGACTAGTTCTCGCTATTCTGAACTCTCTTTAATTAACTCGTTATTTAAAATCGATACAGTGAAAATGTTGCGATAAACGATAACGACGAGGAGCTTGGAAAAGTTTAACTTTGCAACTTCTATTCTACTTCAAACGAGAATCTACCAATTGAAATTAAGATCGCGTCCTCAATCGAACGCATCTCGCGTGCGCGTTTGTCTAAGATTGAGATTAATGTCGTGTGTTTTTTCGATACTCTGATTGCAGCCTCGGGAGGGGGTGGTTCGATGTTGGTCCCTCCCGTGGCCCAAAGTGGGACTGGGGATCGTCCCGTGGGGGACACGGTGGCACGGGCTCAACAGACGACCGGCCCCGCTGCCGCTACGACGACCCTATGGCCTTTAGCACCTGCGCAGCCCAATCAGGTTCCCAATCAACAGTCCCAGGGCATACCACCTCTGGCCGCTACGCCTGCGCCCGCTCACAATCAAGGTTCGCATTACATTATACGTATCAATCATCATTATTATCTCTCGGCGGCGTAACAATCCAGAGATTGAATTGCTCCGAAAGGATTCGGGAGCCCGATATCGCGAGTATTCCCCTCAAAGTGACGGAAAGTTTGCATATCTTTCTTATACTAGCGTATCCACTACAGTATCGCAGTATTGTCGATTCTCAAACGAGCTTTTCTTCGTTAAAATACAACTCGCAAGCTACGATAACTGAATTATTTCACTCGGAAATACGTATTGCGTTGATAGATAAACTTTATCTTAATCTTACTCCGAATCTTAATGCTTCCTCTTCGGTAATCGAGATGTACGTCATATCGAACATTCGTAAAAATGCATAAAGGTATTCGTTCAATTGAGTTTTCGTTAAAAAAGAATCGGCGAAAAATATCGCTGTTCTCTCGATACATTCAGTATACGTTATGTAATATTCGCTAATGATCACACACACACACACACACACACACATACACACAGAGGTCGTTCACACTCGATGCGTAATACGCTTATCATGTTTTATCAATTCGATATCTCGAATTTGGGCTGTATGGAAAACTCCTTGTGCGTAGAAGTAGGGAGAGCATTACTGAAGATTTAAATGTCCTCGGTTCAATCCCGGATTTCGATGCAAATCTCCTTCCATCTTACAAAACCATACTTTTAATGGCACCGAGTCGTGAGATTGTAGATTTCATAGAACTTCATCAATTTCGAGATGATACAAGTGTTTACTTTTTTCTTTATCGAGTTAACACCTTACGGTTTAACATAATGGATGTGTTTTGCTGTCTATCGTTATATTTGTCTTGACGATTGATTAATATCTGTTGAAAAACTGGACAAGCCTGGACAATATATTATAATTATTTACGCTTTTACAGAACTGGCTGTAAACACGAGCCGTTTATTTCGCAAATATAAGTCCAGTTTCGAGATATTACGAATTGCGATGAAATGCGGATACGAGTTGCTGTGACGCATTGCGTTTAATTCCATGATAAATCATATAGTGTGTGTGTATGTATGTGCATGTGTATGTCATGTTTGAAATGTCTATGGACACTAAAACAATATAGAAATTCGGATTTTTGGATTTAATGATAAATATGTGGAAAAAATATTGTTACATCTGCAAAAGTTGTATTTGTGATTTAATCTATGATTCAATCCATGCAAAACAAAGCGAGAGACTAGAGATAAAAGATAGAGATATAAAAATAGACTAGCATACATATCATATATTTTCGCACCGCACATCACATTAGATATTAAGGTAAGAGAGAAGAAGAGATTCAAAGACATAAATAAATCTTTTCTATTCTGTATTTTATAATAACTAGTTATGCGTCCGCGGAGTCCAAGGAAAGAATAATCTGATGTTTTTCCCCTCTTTTAGAATGTTCGAGATAAGTATAGCACTTAATGCCATGTGTGTCTATCTTTATTAGTCGTTTTAATGTATTTTTTTTCAGAAGTATATCGTCTACGAGTGCCATCAGTAGAAATTAAATGTCACTCGCAATCTCGCAACGTTACGTTATCATTAATTTTTAAGCTCCAATTAATTATTATTAATCGTTTGTTATATCTCGATGATGATGTTACAGGTGCGAACCGCTACGGACTGTACTCGTTATTTCCAGGGGGTGGCGGGGGCAGTTACGTCGCCGCCACCCCCGCCACCCCCGAGCAACCGATGCCAGCACGGGCTTATCACGCGACGCACAAGGGTAAGTTTACAATTTCCTTTCTTACGACTTCGCTTTCTACGAAGATCACTCGAGAATATCTCTGCTCTGCAAATGCGTTACACGATTTACATTTTACAAAAAGAGCAAGCATTTTCGTAATCCATTCACTTTCATTCTGTTGGATACAAATTGTTATTAAGAATTACATTTCGAAGCTCACATTTAATGATTGATTCTGCGATAAATCTTGTGTCGCAGAATTTCTTCTCAATTACAATGTCTACGAAAAGAACGATTTTGTTATTGCAGTATCTCTAAAAATTTAGCTACGGTATATTACAGATCTGAAAATAATTTTGCTAGACAATCCAAATAATAAAAAATAATTGTGTAAAATTGGCTGCTAAAATGTCAAAAGTTTGACAAGTTTTGACAGCAGTGTTCATTATGCTTAGGATTTCTACGTAATTGATGGTCCATCAAAATCCTGTATGTGTCTAAATTTTCAGATAATTTAGCAAAATCATTCTATCCGTGCAAAGATCGATCTGTTCCGCTTTATTCCGCGCAATTGAAGATAAGACATTTCATAAACCGAGCTTGAAAATTTCGAATATATATACATAAAATTCATTGATTGTCATGTTATTTATAAAATTTTTATAAATAATTCAACATTAATGTAAGATCATAAACGGCTGAGGAACGCTTAGCGATCCAAGAAACAGATCAGAAATTGCTTTTAACGTTAAACTTTATCCTCGCAACTTTTCCAGACTTTGCGAACAGAACAACCCTCCCTCGGATAATTGAAATCTCGCCGGTGAGATTCGATTTTCGACAAGATTCCGAGAAGGAGGAGGATTTGACCCTCCGACGCGTCCCTGCGTTCTTTCTTTTTCTTTTTTCTTTTTTGAATCCATTCGCCGTCTATCACGAAGCCGTGTTTTGGGTTACACCTCGAACAATGAGGTTGTTAGGAACTAAGAAGGCGAGGTAAGGTCTATACGACGACTGGACACGCGGCTGCACGCGGGAATTCTATTTGTGACGCGAGCGTTTTTCTTCAACTCCTCCGGGTCCTTATCCGAGTTCGCCGCTTTAATTGCATAATTGCTCCATTGTGGACTGGATGAGGGATCCGCGGAACTTGTGAAAGGTTCCCCTTCGAGGCGTCTTTCGCGAACCATCAAAAAAGTGGTATAAAAGGTGTTCATTAATTGACAGTAAGCCGTAAAGAGTATAGGATCTTTAAATCGAATCTCAAGCCGACTTTTCACGTTGGGAAAAATTTTATTTCTCTAATTTTTTAATTTTCAACTTTATCTTTCATGCTTTCATGTTGCTGCAGAACGGACAAGTAAGTATAAATGAATAATTTGACAGAGGATTGTCATAAATTTCTCATTTTAAGATTCCACTTTTCCCTGATTTTCAGACAAAATTTCATGATATTTTCGTCCTGATTTGGAAGCTTAATATTTTATTGAAACATCAATTTAACATAGTAATTAAATTACTATTAATGTTGCTGACACATTTGTATTTTTAATTGTTAAGTCGGTAATATTTCAAAACTGTGTAGGTCTATGTATGATGTACGTATATAAAACATTTTTAAAGCCAAGAATTTTTATTTTCCAGAAAATGTTTCAAAATTACCTGATTTTCCGTTTTCAATTCCCTTGAGAATTCCCCGATTCCCCTTATTTCCAGTTTTGTGGTAACCCTGATGAAACGTGATAAAGAAAGAACCGCGAACATAAATGCAACTTTTTTTAGTGCGTTTTCAGAGAAGAACACGTTTTCTGTATGCCCATTAATGATAGCCAATTCTGTGCACGTTGTAGATATCAACAGGATATTTTTCACACACATTAATTTGCATAGGCAGATACGTATCCACATTTAGATAAAATCAATAGTCCTAGCAATGGCGCAGCACGCCGCGAAAGATATATCGCGCTGCCGCGCGCGCTGATAGACGCATTTCCTCTCGAGAATTACGCGTTTTCCTTGCGAAACGGATCCCGAAAATATTAATCACTCTTTCTATTAATACGTCTCTCTTTAGAGAGACAAAAAGAGATGGAAAAAATCTACACTCCACACAGTTAACTAATTACCGATAAAATATCCAATCAGTTAATTATCGATAAAATATGGAATTTTAATTATTTTAACGATATATGGGATAAAATAGCCCCCATGAGCTATTCCCACATTTTATAATAAAAGGTAGAAAATGTTAACATTTCACTACGTAATTTGCGAAAATTTATAGGTATAAATGTACAAGTGCTTCTTGATTATAAATAAAGAGAAATAATTATTATATTATAAATATTAAAATATTAATGATAAAAATATTACATTATAAATAAAAAGTTATGTTATAAGAGATATTGCTCTTAATTGAGGGATATAAATTTAAAAATAAGCTTTTACTTTAGTTATTCCGATTCACGTACATCAAATATGTACAATTTGTTTTTATATTTATCCTTAAATTGGAATTTATATATCTTGCTTCAGTCTTCCTATAAATTGTATTTTACTGCACTACCGCTTCAAAACATGTGTACAAGAATGTGTATGATGAGCAAATGTATGTATGTATATTTCCGCAGTGTATTGAGTTCGAATCCGTGGGTTCGCTAAGCCCAAATGACTGCGTGGATCAGTCATCCCCGCGGGAAGGAGAGAAACGTATTGTGTAGTATCATACGGATATAATGCGCGTGAAAGAGTTAAACGTTCTAGGGTTAACAAACTGCGCGTTACACCAAGTAGAATCAGTCGCTATTCGCGTATCGCGATACCGGTATTTCCTACTTGCGGCAGACGAAACTTACGTTCGTCGGCGGAAGGCCGGGTCGATTAATCGGCGGCGGATTCTCCAGTTTCAGAGAGCGTGTTTTCCGCGGCGGTCGGGGTTGGGGTGGGTGGCTACACCTGGGGTGCTCCCACGCCCCCACCGGGATCGCCCTACAGCCCCGTGCCCGTGACACAGCTGGAGCTGTTGGCGAAAAATTTGGCGAACCTGGCGCCCGCAGCCGCCACAGGCCAGCAGGCCCTAAGTCTGCAGGGTGTTGGCGTTAACGTGGCCGGTAGTCTGCATCACGCGCAGCATACGCAGCACACGCAGCACACCCTCAACGTTACCGGAATTCATCATCTGCATCACGGTAAGAGTCTATCCGTAAATCGAAAAAAGTCGTGAAATTTCGATTTTCGAAAAAAAAAAAAATATCGCAAAATATTGAATAGTATAAATTGGCGTGAATGTAGAAAATTTAGCTTTTTTTAATTTAAAACGAGACTTTCGAAATAATCGAGTGAATTATTTTTGAATCGATGATTAAAAACCTATGTAGTTTCCTTCGTGGTAACATTATTGTTTACAAGAAAAAACAGAAGCAGAATTATAGGTAAAAGTTATTGATGCAATATACTAATTAGTATCAAGTCGCCCTCATCCTGATCCTGATAAAATCTATTTAACGTTACTAAGATAATGATACCCGGATAACTCACTTCACCCGATCCAAATCATCAGCCCTTAATTATGCGACAAATAAAAAAATGCAGAGGAGTTACGTCAAGGAGTTAATATATCAGAATAGAAATCACCGATTTCAAAGGAAAGAGTAGAACAATTGGCATTATATAAATGTTACATCAATTATGTCTCTTGTGTTAACTAAACACGCAAAAAAATATTTTGCTACTCCAGCTAGAATTATAACTGTTTTTTGTATTTGATAGAAAATTATGTATCACACATAGAATTTATAGCACAAATCTAAATTCTATCTCTGTCATCTATATGATTAGATGCAATACATATCCAATATCACAGTACTTGCTAGAAATTTATCTATTTTAGCTATTTTTCGTACTTAGATAATTTTCGCTGTAACTGCAAGATTACTTTTTTGAATGAAATTCGACGAATTTAATCAATTGATAAGCGAAAAAATGTGACATAGAGAGAAAAATTGGAATAGAATATCTTTAATTTCTTTCATTTAGCAAATGACTTCGTGTAACTCGTTACACGAACAGCAATTTTATCTATACAACGAATAAACACTTATAGCGCGGAGAAAGCATTGGAAAAAGCTCGGAAAAACATGTAAGCGAGTTTTTCCTATATTCTCCGATTATACGTTCATCCGCGTTTCGAAAATAATTTTAGCGGAAATCATTTCCATTTCAAGTTATTTTATATTATTGGCACACAATATCAATCATCACGAAAATAGCACAGGTCGTTACGTTCAACTCGTATCTAAGGCTGTCGTGTTTATTTACACCAGGGTTTTTCAATCGGTATGCCGCGGCACACTGACGTGCCACAACATTTCTGAGAATAGATAAAAAGGAAGCGGAAAAAATTAAAAATAAGTGAACAGGTTTTAAGAGTTGTGAAAATTATTTAAATTATGTTGTGTTTATCCTCATTTTAACCAAAGCGATATCATCATTGCCATACAAGATCTATACTGAGCTTTCAAGCATATGCATCTAATGATGTATCTCGAGAAATTTGACTCATTATTTAAGGAGCAAACTTTCAAAATGCGTTTTGTCCAAAATTTCATTTTTTTAGTTAGAGATGCGGAGTGTTGAAAGACTCGTATTATAAGCTACTCTGAGATGTTCAGAGAGCATTTTTTCATCGTTAATTTATATGCTGAAAAAACATAGAAATTTCGAAATGCATTATGTTTTTTTAACTAGAGACAAACAAAATGCATTTGTTTAACATTTTTAGCAATTGTTTAACAATTTTGTTTAATATTTTACATCCTACTGATATTGTTATTTTCTGTAAAGTGCGTAGTTTTCTTGTGTGCGTAATTTCTGTTTTCTCGTTTTCTGAAAATTATAAATTTTGGACAAATGCATTTTGAAAGTCTGCTCCCCATTATGTGCTACAAATTGAAAGATTGAAAAATGCCGCTCTATATTATCGATGTATATAGTTTATGAGAAATATTGCGCTGTCAATGCCTAAATTCCGATGTACTGCAATTATTACGCGGATTAATCGTACGATGAGAGAATACGTTAACGTAATTTTCTATCCTTTTTCGCGAAAGGTGGCCTCCATCAGAACACATTCTCGCCTCAGCTGTCGCTAGTAACCGGCAGCGCACCAACATTGACCATCAACAACTTCTCGTCGCCCAACTCGACCAACGGTATCGCGCCGACGACGGGTGTCCTCCTACAGGAATATCAACCGCCAGTGGCGGCAACAGGATGTACCGTCACCGTGAACGGTTCGTCCTGTCTAACCAACACCAGCAGCACAACCAGCAGTATGATGGTGCACGGTGGTGTCGGCAGCGGTGGTAACCAGGCGATCAGCAACCAGATCGCCGTTCAAGCCACCGCCACGAAGAAACGTGAGGCTTTCCTTTCCAGTCAAGGCCAACCGGTGAAGCTGGAGAACAAATCGACCAGGGCGTCGTGCCTCTGCAGGAACAGCAACGGTACGACGTCCGTTCTCCCTTGGACTTTTCCATATAAAGTCCAATGAATCGCGTATGCGAACGAACATGTCACGCTTCGAGATTAGGACTGAAGGCTTAGGACCGGCTAAAATAAGCCGAATACTCGGATACCTGCTTGCCATTCGAGATATGTGGATAATATTCGGGTATCTCAGTATCGTTGGCTCTATTCGAAAAATGAAACGACAAACGTTTTTTTTTATTAGTCCTTCAGATTTTCAAATATTTGTATTCTAGAATCTTCGATTGACTGCAGAGACGAGTGTTGGGCTTCGAATCTCACTTTGTCTTTAATTTTTCGGATTGTCGAAGCTTCAAAATCTGAATTTTTCTAAGATTATATTTTTTATTAATATTTTTAAAATTTGAAATCTCCAAGAATTGTAAAATTCTAAATTCAAAAATTCAATGAACCGAAAAAATTAAGATGTTAAATTTTCAAAATTGCGCACCTCACTTCAAAACTGCCACACACATCATAGTACATCACAGATCGAATGACTCCAGATCATTTTGAACCTGTATGCGTTAACTACGAGATCGGGAATTGATGGATTACAGGAAAGACAAAGGTGGTGCATTCAGATATGGGATGCAGCAGGACACTACCTGTCGTCTCGTCCTGGAACGGACAGGATAGCAGCGTTAGTACTAACAATAGCACTGCTAACCTGACCGTAAAAAGGGAACCTTTGGCTTCGGTGCCCTGTCAAGTCGCAGAAGTCTCCACGTCCCTTCATGCCACCACTACCTCTGTCAAGATTGAACCCGTTCCACCAAAGTCCGAGAATGGTAAGTCGATCTCCGGCAAAAGTCTCGTCTAAGAAAATACGATCTGTACAGTCATAATTACATTTAAGTTACGTACATGGTTACGTTACATCACTAGCCACACAAAGACTCGCCATTCGTCGGGTATGTAGGCGACGTAATATGAGAATCTCTTGTTTAAGATACAAATAACGTTTTTTAAAATCAAGATATTCATACTTCTTAATGAGAAATCGTCGTTTGCGGAAACCGCGATACAAAAAACTCTTGTATAAGATAACAGATAATACCGTCCGAAATCAACATGATCATTCTTTTTAACCGCATAAAGAATCGTCACGCTGTTCGCCTAATACGAAGGCGGTGCAACGCCTTTTTTGATAGGCGCACAAGTACGGGAGGAGGGAAGAAACATGCATAACCGGGCGATATAGAAGCATGAGAGTAAGAGAAGGATGAGATAATGCGAGACGAGATTGTGCGAAACGAGAGACCGACCGGTCTGTCGGTCGGTTGATTCACAAGCGAGATGGTGAGAGGAAAAGAGCAAAGAAATGAGGTGCGCAAGAGAAAGAAAGAGCAAGAAAGAAAGAAGATAAGAGAGAGAAGGAGAGCGGCAGACAGGCAGACAATCTCGTTAAAGTAGGAGGTGCGTGGCACGCATGGCGACGCAAATACAAGGCGTGGTTCGAAAGAGTCTCGACCCTCTCTTCGGTCCTGACACATCCGCACTCCCTGGTACACCTCGTGCCGGTGCGTGATGCCCACATGTGTTACGTCATGCGAGCATAACGCGTGTCGCCGAAGGTGCGGAGGAAAGAGGCGGACGGCGAACAGGAAAGAAAAGAAAGAGGACGAAGCGAGGGAGGTGCGGGGAAAGGGAAGATCGAGATGGTGATTTAAATGAATGCACTTCCGAATCAACTGTCGCGTTTCGGTGAAAATACGTAGGGTTGAGTACCGCTCTTAATAGGGAGTTTTTAGGGAGTACCGTGTATCCAGATATGGTAAACGCTAAAATCACGTTATTTGGTGGAAAATCGAAACTGCATATGCGCGATAACGAAACTTTAGCGTTTATCGTATCTGAATATACGGTATTGCAAACATTAGGGAGTTTTTGCAATAGCGTTTATCCAGATACAGTGAACGCTAAGGTCAGGTTATCTTCTGTGAACGCTAAGATCACATTATCTTCTTCTTAACAACTAATTAAGAAAAGGATAACGTGACTTTAGCGTTCACCGTATCTGGAATCCACGTTATTACAAAAACTCCCTATTAAGAAGAGCGGATAGGTAAAGATGGTGATTGAAATGAATGCACTTCCGAATCAACTGCCGCGTTTCGGTGAAAATACGTAGGGTTGAGTACCGCTCCTCTTAATAGGGAGTTTTTAGGGAGTACCGTGTATCCAGATATGGTAAACGCTAAAATCACGTTATTTGGTGGAAAATCGAAACTGCATATGCGCGATAACGAAACTTTAGCGTTTATCGTATCTGAATATACGGTATTGCAAACATTAGGGAGTTTTTGCAATAGCGTTTATCCAGATACAGTGAACGCTAAGGTCAGGTTATCTTCTTCTTAACAACTAATTAAGAAAAGGATAGCGTGACTTTAGCGTTCACCGTATCTGGATTCACGTTATTGCAAAAACTCCCTATTCCCTAATATTAGGGAGTTTTTGCAATAGCGTTTATCCAGATACAGTGAACGCTAAGGTCAGGTTATCTTCTTCTTAACAACTAATTAAGAAAAGGATAGCGTGACTTTAGCGTTCACCGTATCTGGAATCCATGTTATTGCAAAAACTCCCTATTAAGAAGAGTGGATAGGTAAAGATGGTGATTTAACTGAATACATTTTGGAACATGTTGACGCAATCCTCGTAAACCACGGTTGTCGATAAAATTTTAATACGTTGAAAACTTCGCGAGGTTTAACAAAAAAGATTGAGATAATCGAGAAGGGAAGAGAGGAGATGATTTGGATAAATACACTTCAGATACGAAAAGTTTGTGGACAGTTTCCGTAAATTGCTTTATCCATGTTTTTTCGTTTCTTTATCCATAATTGTACCTACAATTTATTTATGATTTATAGAATGAAAGTCTAAATTGAAATAATTTTGAATTCTCAATTGATATGCTCACAACATCGATACATGAAATAATAGGTCTGTTCTTTTTAGCTGAACTTTTTGCACGGTTCATCTTTTCTCTTTCTTTCTCGATCTAATGTGAAGAGAAAAGCAAATAGATGAACTGTGCAAGAAATCCATCTAAAAGGAACAAATGAATTGTTAATTGCAGCCATCAACATGTTTTCGTACATCGTAGATGCATAAAACTGAACTTAGCAAAACATCGGTTCTTGTTTTCTTGGATCTCATGGTTCGATGCTAATTCTTGATTTTTACAAGCGTGATACGTATTCAAAATGCACAAAATTAAAAGAAGGAAAAGCCTCCAATATTCAATGAGAGGTCGATGTTCAGTGATACGATATTCAGTAATAGATTTTATCAATCAATTCTTTCGAGTACCGTTTCTGTTCGTGCTTCATCATAATGTACTCTCAAGTTCTCAACCGAGTCTACGATCGAGCCGACTGTAACATCGCAGTTTCTCTCGTTGCGATTCACGCGCGATTTCCTTAATCGTTTCAGGGATAGCCGTTTCTAATGCGGGAGCCAGTGGCATACCGGTTGGCATTGCTGTGGCGAGGCAGCGATTGCAGCATCAAGAAACTTCGACGTCTATGCGCAATGTGTCCTTAAGTCATCACACGTCTCATCACGCAACGAGTTATCATCATTTCCAGCCGGACAGTCTAGGTAAGTTTTTCTCACGAAGATATCATGGTTATGAAACTCTATTCCTAGACACAATGAATGAAATCGCGAGCGTTAACATTGGAACATTCTTACTCGCAAACGTAAAATCGACATTCGATAACGCGAATACATCGGACCCCCTCGCGTATAAGGATTGTGCTTCTCGCCAGCATGAAAGAGCAATGCAAAAAGTGCAAATGGAAGAAATAGTATTGTGATTTCTTTACATAAATGTGAATTCTTTCAATACTACTAATTGAAAAACGTTGCGATAGAAAATTGTTTGCAAGGTCTACGTTCTAGTAACCGCGCGATTGTTGCTTTTTGTATCGAGTATGACATCGAGTATCTAAAGGAATATTGTGTGATCAAATATTAGCGTTAGACTTCGACAAACTTGTACGCTTTTACAACAGTTTGTTTCAGTTAAAGGATATCTCTTTCAAATGAATGTGCCCAGCTTCCAGTTGCATTCAATATATATGGTATCCAATTACGCGCAGTATGTTTTCATAGTGTGCGATCGTTCAAGTTGCAACTGCGAATATTAAAGAGAGCTCGTTTAGGTTTGCTGGTGTTATTTTCGAAAATTTATTCGTCGCGTATAAAAATCTTTAATATATTAATTAAATGATACTTTTTCCGATCCAACTTTTCTACGCTTGTCGCTTTATCAATGTTGAGGAATGAACGATTTGCCTGCTGCATTATTATCTCGTATCTTGAGCGTAATTTATTGCGAAAAAATATCGCCGCTATTACCGCAGGCCTGGGGCTATTATTTTTACGACGATACTTCTTCGAAAATGACGCTATTGATAGAAGAGAATGCATAGTTTTATGTAGATTCTAAGTACGAACTTTTAATTGGTTATCTTTGAAACCTTCATGGAAATTTTTTTAGTAATATAATAAAATCATTATAATATATATGACCTGAATCTTTTTATTTCGATACTCTATTCTTTCGCTTATCTATTATCTTAAAATTTGCAAAAATCTTATGGTTTCGACATTTTAATCCGTTTTATAATGCAAATCTAAAAAGGACTGGAATATTGCGCAATATGACGGATCGTATCTGACCGATGTTCATTCCGAATATTGAATATAATACTTTTTCGAAAATAACGCTATTGATAGAAAGGAACGCATGTAGTTTTACGTAGGCTCTAAGTAGAGATTTTTAATTATAGTTACTATCTCTGAAACTTTCATGGAAATTTCTTATTAATATTAATAAAATCATCAATACATGAATTTTTTCGATATCCTGTTTGAGAATTCTTACGCTTCCACTCGTATTACCTTAAAATTTTCAAAAATCTCACGGATTCGATATTTTAATCCATTTTATAATGCAAATCTAAAAAGAACTGGAATATTGCACAATATGACGAATCGTGTCTGACCGAAGTTCATCGAATTCCGAATGTTCCAAACTAATACTCATTTACATCTAATTTCTCTAATTGCTGGCTTTTATTGTCATTTGATGAAAAGAGAATCGTCCGTAGCTTAGAGGTTCCGCTCTCTGCCATCGACGGGTACTCCCCTCGATCTCTACTGATATTCACAGTGGATGAATCTTGATGAGCAAGCCTGGGTCCGTTGTAGGTTCCAGCACGGCCATGGCGGTAGGCGGCACTACCCTGGTGCACTGCGGAGGGCCTGGAGGGGAGGATCGTGCGGCCCACCTCGCTGCCATTCCCTCCGGGGCTCTCGCGCCCTCGCTGAGCCTGAATTCCAGTCTGAATTCCAGCCTGAATTCCACCCTGGGCAGCATCAGCGGCGGTTTTTCAGCCGCAGGTGGGTAATCCGCAGCCGATCATCATTAGAAAAATATGCCAAACCACCCTGACCTCATCCAATTGAATTCGAATAATAAACTAAATCTTACGAATCGAGATTGGACGAAAACGAAATCGTAAATATACGAAATTTCATGTCTCGAGATAGACAATTTTATATTGATTGACATTCGAAAATCAAGCTAATTGGAGATTAATGAATTAAAGATTTTATGTGAGAAATACGAAACTGCAAGAAAATATGAGTCCCTCGGTATCGATTGCGATGAAACGGTCTACAAAATTCGGTTAACGCTAATTAAATCATATTTGTTCTGTACTAACAATCTGTACGTACTTGATTATTTACAAAAGTAAAATTTGATGAAAGAGTAGCGCGTATCACTGAGAAACATATGAGAATATTTACCTACATGAACGTAAATTTGCATAACGTTCATTTTTGACGACATAAACGGATCGTATCAATGAACAAAGGATCAAATTAATTAACATTTCGCAATGTGCGTATATCATATCACATCTATCAGCGTGAGGGATTAACTGGGCCACTAACGAACGACCCTACACAATTTTGGATCGAATTCACCCCTCGCGTTGACCTCCCCGGCCTCGCTGACCGAGTGACATTTATCCAAATAACGCTGAACTACATCGCCCAGTCTGCAGCTCGCGCGCGTATTTTCGCGCCGTGTAAATCATTCACGCATACCCGTTTAATTTAATTCGTCGCTCGATAGGCGTTTAGACATAGACAAAAATTCACGCGTTAAAGCATACCAGTTGCAAAACCAACCGATTTTACGCTCTTTCGATCTTCAAATAATAACAACAGCAACAATAATCTCTTCGTTCTCTTGGGATAAAGGGGATTAAAATTACGATATGAAAGCTTACTGAACAAAAAGAGAATATCCACAAAATCTATAATTCGGATATTTTTTAAACTTTTATGCAGCCAAAAGCGTGCCCAATTAAATTATTTGCCAAAATTCTTCATTCTAAAATCTCATTTTTTTCCTGATTTTCAGACAAAATTGCATTATTTTCCCTGACTTTTAATAATATTTTCAAACTTTTTTGTATTTTCGTCTTGATTTGGAAACCATTAAATATTCTGTTGAAAGAGTAATTTAACACAGCAATGTAAATGTTGTTGACACTGCTTGCATTTAATTATTAAGTTGGTAGTATTCCAAAACCACACGTAGATATGATGTACGCGTATTAAAACCAAGAATATTAATTTTTCAGAAATTTTGAAAAATTCCTTCACTTTTCCCTGACCGTTTTCAATTTACCTGACATTTTCCCGATTTCCAGTTTTGCAGCAACCTTGTATAAGTGTAACATAAATATGTATGAAACAATCGAAATTAATCCACGGTTCCACAAAGGATGAGAAATTGATATTGCTTTTACAGCGATGCCAACGGAGCCGGTCGGCTTTCCGCAGATGGGCTCTGGGCTGCAAGGTGGATTACAGTTAGTTCGCGATCCAACGACCGGACACATTCTCCTTATCCACGCTGCGGGTAATGCGGGAATGCAATTCTAAACATATCCTTCTTAATGCGCACGCGGCAAAAATCAATTTTACATTTTTTTTTCAACAGAACAAATGCAGCAGGCTCTAGTGTGGCCGAATTACTCGAACCACAACAATAATGTTGCTCCACCGCCACTCCTGCTGCCACCGCCTCCACCCTCGATACAACTTCTGGGTGATATCGGCGGCGCGCGATTAGTGCTGACCGAAAACAAAAGAAAACAACAAAGCGCGCTACCGATAGTAAAGATTGAGACGGAATGCAGCAACAGTCCAACAACCATAATCAGTACGTAAGACCATTCTTTTTAGCAGGGAGGAAGAGAGTTCAAGGCAAAGGAAATAATTTTTTTTTTAAAGAAACGAATATAAGAAACTATGATTGTTACATGTTTTAACACTCTCGGAAGTCTGAGATTTCTTTACAATTAAAGAAATATTATCGATGATATCCCACGCTACTCAACTAAAACGCTGCTAATTAAAAACGAAGCACTGTAAGTTCAAATTAATTTTCCTAAACTTCCGGAAGAAATAATCAGATCAAGTGGTAGTTGCAACATTACTTATACAACGTTCACTTATTTCATAACCGCGTTAAGACGTTTCCCAATCTTCCGCAGCATCCACCGAGTCGTCAAAGACCGCCTTGCAAACCGTGACGTCTGTGACGGGCGCTCTGGTACCAGACGCAGCCCTGGTTACCACGTTGCATTATTACCCTCAAGCGCCGGCGCTGGTGCAAATCAGCCAAGCCGAGCCTACTACTACGCACTGCAGGTCACAGGTAATATAAGTAACATCACCTTTCACCAGGTTTAAACATCATGCACGCCTATGCCGAAGCGCGGTATGCAACGCGCAACGCGAATTATTGCACGACCGACCGACCGGCCGGCCGGCCGGCGCAATATCTATGCAGATAGCGATGCAAATCGGGTTTGCCCATGATTAATACAATGTGCCACAACGTTTCCACATTATGCGAATGGCTGGACCGCGCCCGGAGTTTGACGTAATTACTGCTGCACTTCACTGCACCCGCCTTCCCTCTCCCGTTCTCACCCGAAGGTCTTTCTCTTTTAATTTTCCTCGCGCAAAACACAAATCTTACGATATCTGCGCGGAACAATAACTAAATCTTGACTTTAAAAAATTAGAGAGCGCTGTCATATAAGAGTAACATACAAAAAAATCTGTTAACAACACATCTGTTTTATAATACTTTTATGCACGAGCAATTAGAGAGAACGTTAATAATAATATAAAAGAAAGACTTTTTTTTGAGATTCTGAAATTCTTAAACAATAAGAATAAAATTTTTACAAAGGCCACATCACCGGTCTCATATCTAACACCACCTCCGGAAATATCAGCGACGGTTCATGCGATCGAACCATCGTCATTCGGAGTTCAGGATGCCTCAAATCAAACCGATGCTCCCGAAGACACCGAGGACAAGCAAGAGGCTCTCGTGAAGCAGGAGCAGAATCTGAGTCCCTGCCAGGTCGCGTCCCAATCCACGGGGACGAATCTAACCGCTGCGAATTTCGAGATCGTGCCATCGCCGACGGAGAGGATCTGCAACGTCGTCAGAATCACGACAACTACGACTACTGTAAATCCAACCGTATGCGGCATCGTAACCAAAGTAGACAAGGCGGAGAACACAATCATTAATATGGCTGATTGTGCTAAATACTCGGCGAAAGATGGGAGAGGTCTTGTGAAGGCGATTGAGCAAGATGCTCATGTCGAGGAGGAAGTTTGCAAGGACGACAAGATCACGCCTATCTGCAGCAGGGGCAGCAGGCTCGGCGCTAGGATCATCGAGATCACTGAAGAGAACTGTGATAGTTTCCATGAGAACTTGGAATTCTTCGCAAGGAGAAAAGACGTCAACGTAGATCAACGAGATGATTATTCTAAAGACGAGGAGAATATTGTGCAAGATCCTAATATTCATGAAAAGGAGGTAAGCTTTCAATTGTTCAAAATTTTCTATATTAGAATACAAGTATAATGTTTAACAAAACTGTTTAATTGAGGCATTTTTAACAGCAACTAAATATTTCCTTCATGTACTAAAACATTTAATTTGTCTCAATACACTTTTCAGCTTTTCGCGAGGAAAATAACAAAAATATTTGTTTATACCAACAAACGATGTACAGTTGATATAAACAAATATTTTTGATTGGTACACTTTAATTAAAAATTTTTAGTTGATTCCTTTTAAATTTCATAAAACAAAACAATGTAATCTAGTGTTACACTAGGAAATATATTTCGTTTTATAAATCAAAATTTTGCTGTAACAATAAAGTATTTGTTGTATAAAATGTACCGAATAAAAATGTTTGATTATATCAATTGGACTGTTTAACTGCTATAAATATTTTTGTTTTTTAAAAAGCTGAAAAGAACATTAAGCAGAAACAACTAAATTTTCTATTACATAAACAAAATATTTGATTACCGTTAAAAATGCTAATTTTATTGAAGGCACTAAATTTTTTTTCCTAATATGTATAACATGATTTTCTTGTAAATCGTTTTGTTCTGGATATATTTTCTGGTATAATATCTAGAATCGTCCTATTTTCTAGGTGGAATCGAAAATCATTGATGCTTCGGAGAATATTGACATTCACCGTCAAATGTGCTCTAAAACATCGGATACACCAGTCATCAACGAGACAAAGTCAGATGTAGCTGATTCGACGGAATTACCAAGAGTCAATTGCGAGAGTTGCGACAAGAACCGAAATACCTCAAACGCCGAAACCCGGCCTCAAATCACAGTTAAGTCTTTCGACATGCCTAATATTGATTGCGACGATCAGGAAGTGCAACAAGTAGCTATCAAGCAGGAAACTGACGACAGTTGCTACGAAGTGTGCTATGAATCATCTCAGTGCGAGCCAACGTCCACTAGCGACAGATCTAGATTTAACTGTGAGAAATCACCGCAAGAACTGACGAAAAGACACTCAGTGGAAAAGTCCCACCATCCAGGTATTGAGAACGTAGTGGAAAAGCTGAAGAAAAATGCGGCGGCTTTGCAAGAAGCTGCGATACCTAACACTCAAAGAATCGACGAATCCATGGAACGATCAAACGTGGAGATCAAACAGCAGAGATATTCTGAGACGATACCGAAGAAGTTGCACCTTCTAAGATCATGCCAGAACTCTCTGGAGAATGGCACGACCGATATCGAAATCTCTTCCTCGCAAACTGCAATATCGGAGCAACATATTAACAATCAATCGGGACGACATTCGCCTCAAAACGACAGACATTTAACCGGTGAATGTCTGCTTAACGAGAACAATAATGACAGTAGAAGCAATAACAATAACATCAAGGCGTTCGAGGATAAAAAATTGCTAGCTAAAAACGAGAAGAATGTCTCCCATGATATCACTGCTTACGTTAAGCCTAAGACTGTCTGGCGCTGTGAGGTGCAACCATTCTCGAGGCCCAATGTGACTCGTAAGTCCGATCATGTCGAAGACGTGTCTTCAGAGACAAAGTCCAGAATACAAGGACAAAAGCCTGCCATTGACGTGAGCGGTCTCGAATTACTGTCAAACAGCATCGAGCAATTGGAACAACGAATCGGTCAGCCGGAACATTTACAACTGGACACGGATGTCGAAAAGTCGCCTGTTAGAAGCAAACTGGTAAGTCAGCAGAGTGAGAATAATAACAACGTCGGCAGTCCCCTCGGATTACTCTGTGCACTGGCCGAACAGATTATGGAGGTAGGCGACAAGATTCCCCGGAAATTAAACCTCGAAAGTTCGGAGGAAATCTCACAGGCCGGTAGATTACTGTTGAATCTGGGCAGAAGTGGTTCTCTCGAAAAAGATGAAAACAAAAGAAAGTATATTGAGACTGATGATTACCGTTCCAAACGATTCAAGCTCAATGATAGCGAAGAGGAGACTAAGAATGCGTCGCTAAATTATCACGAGAAAGATATCAAAGAACAAACAATGGAAGTTAATGAAAGAAAGCAAGATGTTTTGGAAACAAAAGAGAGTATAGATAACATTGATAATTTCTCCGAGGAGGAGATCAATAAAATCAACGATGAAAGAACTATCAGCTCAGAAGAACAATCTTTCAGCAGAGACGATGAAGATTGTTACTCCAATACAAAGGCTGTTAAAAATCTCCAAGCTCTTTCGGATAAAATACCTAATAATTTACGAAGTACTGATGCGCTTTACGATAAACTCGAGAAAGAAGACAATCTGTCGGACTCGGAGAGTGAAACATTCGAGTCAAAAGTCGTGTCTGAACAGTTAACGAGCTGCGAAATTAGAAATAACAAGCGTAAAACATCCGTCGAAGAGAGAGACGCAAGGGACAACCACGACTATAAAAACGCGCGAGCAAAGTTAGAAGCGAAGAAGTTCATAGCCAAGAAAGGAAATCGCGATAACGAGGACGACTGGCCAAGCATGAACGCCACAGAACTGGACATGAGAGTTAGGATGGCGGATATTCAGAGACAATATAGAGAAAAACAAAGGGAGCTTTCCAAGTTGATTCCTAAAAAGGATGAAAAGAAAACTCCTGGTAGACCGCGGAAGAAGAGTCATTCTTCCATTAGGTAAGTGTGAATCAAAATGATAAATTATATGATGCAGAAAATTCGACGTTATTTTTAATATATACGGTTTATTTTGAGATAAGAAATACATGGAAAGAATAATTTTGAAATATCTAAAAATTTAGATAGATGAAGATTTTAAAATAATTTTGTTGGATCATCAAAATTATTATGTAGGAAACTCAAGCATGATAAGTAGTGATGGGTATTCAATCATATCTCTTGCGATTTTTCAATCAATTTAGTCATTGCTCTGCTTCGAAACATTTCGAATATTATTCGAAGAATGTACACTCTTAAAAGTCTTGATAGATTTTGATAGTCTTGATATATCTTGAAAGTTTTGATAAGCCTTGATAATTCTCGATTTCTTCGATTAAAAAAAATTTGTTTGAATTGAAGAAATTTGAATGACTTGCTATACGGTTAAAGAAAAGTTTCTTCGATTTGAATATCATTTCTTTGACGTATTATAATTATTTATATTTAATATTTTTTACTCTCTAAAATTAAACTAAAATTACTCTCTAAAATTTTATTCTCTTTAAAATTTATTAAAACATTCAAAACTTTTCAAGACATTCAACACTTTTCAAGACATTCAAGACTTTTCAAGACATTCAAAACTTTTCAAAACATTCAAACCTTCAAGAAACTTTTAAGATTGTATAATTTCAAATCGTATTCGAATTAATTCGAATTAATTCGAACTATTTCAAAGTATTTTGATATCCATCGCTAATGATAAACAATAAACAATGCTGCAAAAAGTTTTGACAGCAATTAGTTTGAAGTTCTTACATTATTTAACAAAATTATTTTCAGATCATGTAGTTAAATATTTAGATATTTCAACAAAACTGTTTTTTAAAAAAATTATCTTTTTTATAAATTTGATAAATATATACTTAGGATAAACTTTTTCGTTTTTAAAATCCATTAAGTTAGAACATAGTAACTCTTTCATACTAATTTTCTGTTTTAATTTGAATAATTTGGTTATTAATAACTTTTTTAGTTCCGACCACGGGACGTTATCATCACCACCTGCGCTAGATCTCATGACTTCTCCGTCGCGAAAATCACCCTCGAGAGCATCAAGATCACCGGAGCCTGGTGCATCTTCGCCATTAACTTCGGCTGTTCTAACCATGCCAAAGTGTAACGTGAATCTCGTGAAACTAGGCGAGCCCAGAAGCCACATAAAACTTTTGGATAGTATACCCAGTATTCCGATATCAGTACCGCCCGTGACATCACCAATCCCAATGTTACCTGGTAAAGCAACACCAGAGGATGACGAAAAAAGTACGGGAACGGTATGTATATTAATATTTCTCTAGATAATTTTATTTATTAATATATTAATAATATTCTTCTTATTTATTCACTTATCTAATACTGTTCAATTCTTATTACTAACGCAGTGTAAAAAGCAAGCATACAAGTTTTAGAAATGTGATTGTTATTTTTTATCTTTAGGTGGGCTATGATACGTCATCACCAGCACCGACTGTCGCAAGCTCGACGTCCGCTTCGAAAAAGAGAAAAGTAGGACGACCACGAAAGCTCACGTGCACCTCGGGTAGTGTCAGACATTTAACGGAGACAATCGTTGCTAAGAAACCTAAAAGTAAGAGTTCTCTAGTGGGTTACGTACTGTCCTCTAAGAACAGACACCTACAAACAAAGGTAACTTACTAAGATTTGTCATTTAAAAATTTTTAAACATCTACCATATATTACTGATTTTAATAAATGCAATTCGATCTTTGTTTTCAGCAATGTATAAATAATAAAACCGGCTACACGCCGTTGCCATTCAAATCAGGAGTCTCTTCCCCGAAGCCACAAGCTAAGATACAAAAAGTTACAAAAATGAAGACAAAGCCAGCAAAACAAACTCCGTTGCACAACAAAAATGTGATCAGCTCGATTATCGCCGAAAAAGCAAAGCTAAGTCAAGAAGTGAAACTTGAGAAGCATAGTAGTAAAATAAAACCGAAGCTCAAAGCGGAGGTGAAAGTAAAAAATTGGGAGGACGACGAGAACGATACGATACAACCCGAAAATGTTCTACCTAACGAACCTATAGTTCAAAATCCTGTCAAGGTAATAAAATCATTCCTACACTTATTTATAAATTTCCGTACAATTTCACAAATAAATAATTTAAAAAGAATTAGCAAAAATCTTATAAGATTGTAAAGCTTAAAAAAATACCTAAAATTTTTTTTAAAAATAAATTTAAAAAATTTTAAAAATTAAAAGTAATCTTATCTTAGTTCTCTATCTTTCTCTTGATATGAATATTAAATAAAATTGTATCTTCAACTAGTGAAAGTTACACGTACAATTTTAGTATTTTTATATTGTGCACTTGTCATTTCATAAATAGAATTATAATCCAACAAAATTAGCAAAAAAATAAGAAAAAAAATACAATATTTCTTAATCATAAAATTTCATCTATGTACCAGGAGACAGAATGCGCACCGATAGAATCTGCAGAACAGTCAGAGGAACCGGAAAAATTACGACATGAGAAGTCGAAGAAGAAGAAGCGGAAATCCAGTTCGTCCCAATCGCCGAATCGTGATAAGAAAGAGTCTAAGCGACGCAAATCCCTGGAGTGCAAACAGTGCGCTAAGGTAGCTGCGAGGACTTCTGAAAGCATTGTCAGCCGATGCAAGTTAACGTCTGCTCATCTGGCCATCGATCAGCTGCGAGTTCTCATGGCGATAGGTGGGCTCTTCTACGCAGGCAGACTGAGTGCTGTACAAGCACCTGATGTTTATGCTATTACGCTAGATGGCGAACGTGGAAACAGACCGCATATTCACTCCAGAGAAGAGATCCTGAAAGACGCGGTAATAAGACTCGACTTAACTTTGGAATTGATCTTGCCAACATCAACTTACCTTAATTTATTGCCTTATAATAAATTAAGCCCTAAACACAATGCGAGACAACAGCGACAGCAATAGAAATAACAATAGCGATAGAAACAATGAAATCCAACATTTGAAAATGCATACGTCAATGCACATAGGAACATAAAGAAAGGCAATAGCGATAAATTTCCGACGAGTTGGAATTCTGTGTCTATCGCCTTATCGATAGATAAGGTAACCTACCAATCAGCGTTCAGATTTTTCATTCTGTTTATATGTGCTATAAGAAGCGTATTTGAAGCAGATGGAAGAATATATTACTGTCTATATATGAGATCAGATTGGTTGGCATTTTTATTTCTTTCGCGGCATTATGCAAAGGCGACTATTACATATCGCATATTTCTATGCTATTCCTATCGCTGTTCTTGTCGCTATTGCCTCACATTGTGTCTAGGGCTTTACACTATGAGATTATAGTCCAAACGAAATAAAAACTAGACGCGGATTAGAATTTAAATTTAACAAACACGAGTCTGATTCTAGTCATGCCCACACTGAAAAAAAAAGATTGGTTGCTGCAGCAAATTAGATGGCAAAATATGGCATAGCATTTTTAATTGGCTG